ATTCCCCAGCCAGCCAACTGGGAGTTGAAGTCCACTCATCTTAAAGTGCCCAAGTTTGGACAACACTGCTGTAGATGCTTTTGCTCTTCTCACCATTGGCTCCAACAGCTCTGCTCTGAGGAATTAGTACACTTCTGTTGCTTATAGACTTTTTGCTTTGCAATTGCTTAGGCTATTGGCTCTGGAACGAAATAATTCTACTAAGCAGAAATAACCATCATTATTCCCATAGAATAAAGCTGTTGGTGCTTTCCACTGGTATCGTTCCTTACTTATCTTTTCTTCCTCTGGGTTTTGAACTCTTACGTTGGTTATAGATATCTGCAAATAATGCTCCTTTTTTACTTTAAATTAATACCCATTAAACTAATTAGAATATATGTTAGAAATAATAGAAAACAAAGGTTTCCAGAGCAGAATGATGGGCATAATACGTAACATAATATAGTCATTTTTCAGATCCTGGCTAGTAATTATTAAATGTGCATATTAATTCTTGTAATGTGCCTGTGGAGATAAATGGCTTAACTCATAATTATTTTTTCCTGTGAACTTGTGAGAAATTACGTTAATTTAGGGATTAATATAGATGAAAGATCGGCTGGCAAATGTAATTCTAAAAATCTAAAGTAACTCAAAGTCATCTCCTTTTCAGACAGCTTCATAATAGTTCTTCAGTTCAAATTATTGCTAATAATAGCAGGGAGCAGAGAATGTATCATTGTTGTATTGTTGTTAGTTATTATTAGTACTGTTGTACTATTGTTAGTCAAAGCTCTATGAACATTATCAAGTTGAATCAAATATAAACCCAGTTACGTGAGCTTTGGCAAACTGAACTTGGAAATAATATTTGCCCAAGAACATATATTAAGTGCACTGGATATGAATAATTTTTCTCTTTCATCCAATTCCATTGTGTTCCAGATGGATACTCTGGACCATCAAAATTAGAGCACATCCCATTACTGCTATACAGTCTCTGTTCAAATAAATAGCATTACTGTTATTTAAAGAATCCCAAGAGATCTGCCCAGACCTTAGATTCATGGAGGAGGGATGTGTCAGTGACATGAAAATAGGATACCATAGATGGGTTACAAAAATTGACATGACCACTAGATAGCAGCTATGTATGCTGCCACCTAGTGGTTCTGCAGATTTTGCAGCCCAGATAAAATGACCCTAATACACATAAAGCCTTCTAGTTAAGATTCTCATTATCTCCAAATATTAATTCTTAGTGGACAGTACTGTTCTTTGTGGGGCTTCCAGAGATTGTCGAGGACAGTGTTTCTCAGCCTCAGCAAGATGTGTGGAGTTCAACTGAGAATTCTGGCTGGGGAATTTTGGGAGTTGAAGTCCACATATCTTAAGTTGCTGAAATTGAGAAACACTGGTCTAGGAATCCTGTGAAAAAAGAGCTGTCTACATTTGTGCTGGGTTGTATGTATTTTTTGTCAGACTGAATTTACAGTATTTTCAATGTAAATATATCGTTTTATACTTCTGATTCCTGCTTGTTAGGAGAAGCAATTCAGCTGCCCATCTCTTATAAGGGGAATGAATGTAATCTTCAACTACAGGTTGGTGTTAATCCTGAAATGGGAGGAAGAGAAGGCAACTTTCCCTTTGTCTTAATCAGATAAACTGATGGGAAAGGGTTTTACTTTCTCCTCAAGTGGGGAGCAGCAGCTCACAGATACCGTTCACTTCACCAGCCCTAATGTGCTAGATGTGCATCAGTGATGCTCAAGGCTTGGAAGAAGAAATAAAATAAACGCTGTGACTTATATGAATTATTCCACCCTTGAATTTTTATGTAACTTGATAGGTGTTTACTGTTTTGCACTGATGTATTCTGATTCTGTCACCTCATTTACATATTTACACAGGAGAACCTCTACAACAATTGTAAAATGTTGCAAGGAAAAATTGAAAGGCAGAACTGAGCCACTGTAAAAGAAACTTCTCTTTAAGTGGTTTTATCAGGTGTTGTTTTAAAAAGGCTCTTGTTTTTCTTTGGACAGCAAAACGTCAAAAACGTGGCAATATTTGTGTGAAGCTGCCTTCCACATCTAATATGTTCTCATGTCTTCAACTCAACCAACCTTTTCCCTTTCTACCTGTTGCACGTGTCAGTGAATTTTGCGTAGCATATGAATGGCTAAGACCTGTATATTTATAGCAGCCTTTCTGAAGAATCATTAGCATTTTCAATTAATGTTGTACAAATTATGACTAAGGAGAGCTCTATGACCTTGTCAGCGCAAAGGAGCATCAAATAGAGTGCTTCAGCTACTTCTTCATAAGAGGTGATACTTCTTGTGTTTTTTAAAGGAGGAAAATACCTAATTAGTCTATTAATCAATGATATGACACCAGAGTTGTTTGGTTTTTAGACCTCCTACTATGCAAAGTGTTGGAACAACTGATGCTGCTGCTTTTGGCTGAGCAGATTAGTGATTGGACTGGTGTTATCTCACCTTCCAGATAGTCCAGACAAGAAGCACGACCATGAGTAATAACTTATCTTTACTGTAAGGTTACACTAACAGAATCTTGCAAGACTGAAAGTATTACTTCCCTCCTCCTCTTTTATTCTCCAGAAAACTAGGGAGGGCCCTTTCTGAAATGCTTCCCACACACAAACGTACCCCTCTCCTTTTGTGGACTGAGATACCTTTTATATGATGGTTGTCCTGATTATATGCATGCATTTAAAACTCTAGCAGATAATGTAAGTCAGCTGCTGATTTCCACTGCCATTTATTGTCTACATTGATATGCATGTTCAAGTAACTCTGAACAACTTTAAAAACTAGTATCAGTATCCATGATTTTAAAAAGTTGTTTGCTGTAGTTTTCAAAAAAGTTTCTTTCTGAGCTTTTGTCCAACATAAAAATGTAGAAGGGAAGTTTTTAGGAATATGAAACTTCCTTCTGTAAACTATAATTCTTGTAGATTCATGCATCTTCCATAGAAGGTGCAAAGAAAGAAAAACACATTTCTTGTGTTTTCTTCTACATATCCATGTCCTGAGTTAGATCTAATGACCAGAGAATCTTCATCTTTTTTACAAATCTCAGAGAAACACCATAGAGAATATAAGAAATGTGAATTGTTCATATTTCTTAATCATGACTTTTGTGGAATGGGCATATCAGCCCTTCATGAAGGAGAAATATCTCATTAGAGGTCCATTTCTACTGTATACACACGTCCCAGATTTTACATGACTACTTCATCATGAGACTGCTAAGCTTCTTGAACTTAGAAGAAAGGGGTTAGCATCAAAAAAATTGTAATAAGTGAATCTGTTGCTTGAATTAGGTAATTTGTTTGGGTTGGGTGCATTCCTTTGTTTAAGGCTTAATGCCACTCACTCCCAAAATATACTCCCAAAATTGCTAACTTAGCAATAAATAACAACCAGGACAAGATTTATACAAGTTTTGCTTGAGAGCAGAATCAAGAAATGAGAATAATAATACCAAAGTATTATTTAGGCTGTAAGGGTGTTCAGTCTGTGCCAACCTGTGCATTACGCAAACCAGCCAACAGGCTAATTTCAAGCGTCAGGCTTCAGCTCTTGTGCTGCTGTTTTTGGTTCTAAAGAATAATTTCAGGCTAATTTTACACAAATATTGTATTAATCAACAGAGTAATTTCTTTTTTTAATAGTAATTTTATTAAAAGTTACAATTAAAGAGATAAAAACTAATACAAACTAAAGAAAAGAAAAGAAAGAAAAAATAGAAAGTGCAGAAAAGAAAAAAGAAACAAATAGAAAAGAAAGAAAAAATAGGACTATAGTAAAGAAAAAGAAAAGAAATATATAAAGAAATGACTTCCCCCTTCATCATAACAAGTATAAACAATTTTAGTAATTTAGCACCTTCTCTTAAAATACAACAAATAATCTCTTCTTCTCATATCCTATCTCTTATCTGTAAACAAATCCTTAAAGTCTCATCGTTCAGTCCAGATCAGCAAAAGTCCATTAAGGGTTACCAGAGATAACATGTCTATTTTAACCTTGATCAAATAAACCAACTTTATATTCCTTCCTTTTGCTTTTAACAATCTTGCGCTTTAGTCGCTTCAAATAATGCCCTAGAACTTGGTTTCTTTTCATTTTTCTTTGTCCCTTCTCACAAAATTCTTCAAACCTTTAACAAGTCTCTTCTGTAAATTCAATATAGGAAAGTTATCCGGGTCACTCTGTTGGTTTGTTATTTGTATATCCCTTTTAATTACTAAGGCATCAGCTGATTTCATATGTATGTCCAGTGTATCATCTTTTTCTATATCATTCTTGTAACCTGTCATTTTAAAATCCACTTTCAGATCAGTCTCAGTCGTGTCTGGTAAAACTTGTTCCTCTTCCATAACATCTTTTAAACATAGTTAAATAGATGTGGATACTCTTAAAATTAACTTCTAGGTCCATTGTTCAAAAATAACCTTCAATATGTCCATTGTTAAAATGTTTTTCTCCATTCTGTACTAGTGTCAAATTTAAGTGTTCTCCTCCTTTAATTGTAATCTTTAGTTCCTTCTGGTTCCCTCTAGTGTCCAACCTTCAAAGTCT